CGCGGGTCTTGTCCGCACACAAACTGCAACGAGCATAAATATATAATACTCATTTTCCACCAGAGCACATATACACATTGAATGGAAATTACACGAACTGCTAATGCATAGCTACAGTTTGTAATCGCCGTATTACTCAATACCCCAGCAGTTGAAGCCCTAGCAGTAAGTATACGTCAGTGCCCGAGCATGTTAGGCATCTATTCTCATGATTGGTCTGTTAGCGCCACGCCTACTGATCGCTCATCGCGAAAAGACTTCAAATGAATTTTTGACTAGAGTTCCTGGAATACAAACACCGAGGGAATGCGCTGGCTTTGCTGACTGTTCCGGTTCACGGCGGCGCTCGTATAATTATATCGAGGAACATTGAAGTAAAAGCTTTTATCAGTTTATATCACTCCATTATTAAAATTAACACATTAATGGTGAAACCAGTGATGCACTCGTCAGATAGTACGATGCAATTTCAAATGCGAGAAGTCGGCAAAGTAATTAACCACTCCCACCACCACCAACGCAGCCATCACTATTAACATCAGCAGCAGCAGCTGCAGAAACACCAGCACCACCATTAGTAACAGTAACAGCAACAGCAGCAGCATCACCGTCATCGACGTCACTATCATCGTCATCGTCATCATCATCATCAACATCACCATCGTCGTCATCATCGTCATCATCTCTATCACCATTATCATCATCATCATCATCATCATCATCATCATCATAATCATCATCACGAGCAGCAGTATCAGCAGCAACAACATCACCAACAACAGCGGTAGCAGCATTTATACTTACCCTTCTCTTCTTCTTTTGCCTCTTCTTTCCTCTTCTCCTCCTCCTTCTCCTACCCCTCCTCCCCCTCCTCATCCTGTTCCTCGTACTTCCCCTCCCCCTCATCTTCCTGCTTCACCTACCCCTCCACCCTTTCCCTCCCTCATCCTGTGCTTCCCCCTCCCCCTCCTCTTCCTCCTCTTCCTGCTCCACCTACACGTCTTCCTGTTGCTCCGCTTCCCCTGCGTTATCATCATCATATTCTGCAGTAGCATCTCACCATTAGCATTTATCATTCTCACCATCTTCATATAGTGATTGCAATGCACACGATACGTTGCTGTGACACGATTATACTGAGACACGTCCGTTAAAAAAATAAACGCGATATGCAGGGCCGTAAGCTGAGCAACTTCCTAGTGGGGGGGGGGCAAAATTTCATGACTCAGCTGCATGTGTATTGATGAGCGACGTGCGCAGCTCTTGATCGACATTCATAGTGTGGTAGGGGTGGGTCTGAGACAAGGCTTTCACGAAGAAGTGACCAAAAAATCATGTTAGGGTTATTTTCGATTATTAGCCAAGCTTATTTTTTAATTTTGCTCCAAAATAGGGGGCAGCTGCCCCCCTTGCCACCCCCCACAGCCTACGGCCCTGATATGTAATATGGCGACGAATAATATAATAAACGATTTTTCTCTGTTTAATAAATTCGCACATTAGTTTTGTGTATAGTATGCTATACGGTAACCATGTAGTAGGAGGGTATAGCTACTGGGAGCATCTGCAGTCTTAGCCGTCTTAGATGCTATCTTCTAGCAGATAAATGACCATTATTGATCGTGGGAGGTGTTTGCAACGACTACAAAATTATCACGGATCACAATTACAAAGCTTCTCTTCCCTTTCTTTCTTTCGTTCTTCACCCTCTCTCCTTCTCTCTATTGCCCACTCTCTTACCATCCCTCTCAGCCTCTCTCGCTCCTCCTCTCTTTCGCCACTCTCGTCCCCTCTCATTTTCTCCCTCGCGCTTTTTCTCTCGTGCTCAATCTTCCCTATCGTTCGTCACCCTCTCGCTCCATCACTTCTCATCTCTGTCTATCTCGCTACTGTTTGCGTACTTTTTTGCGTTTTCGTTTTTCGATTTCATTCCACCTCTATTTCTCTCTATCTCTATATTTTCATATATCAAACTTATCCCACGCGCTCTCTCTCCTCTCCGTCCACGCATTTATCTCTCCCTGCCCCGTCTTTCCCTTAGCTGCTGCCACGCAATGGAAATTCTAAGGCTGATGTTTTACTATCACGCTCGTTGGGCCTCTCAATAATTCATAACGGAAAACAAACCAATGATTAACCCAGGCGTAATGCATCATAACTCGCCCCACTCCCCATCTCCCCCTGTCGCTTCTCCGTTACCCCTCCTCTTCCTCTTACGCCCTCCCTATCCTGTACCTTCCTCTCCCTCTCGTAACCCACTCTATATATTTGAATTCTTACATTCAATTTCAAAATAGGCTCATATCTGTCTTCATCTTTCTCTTTCTCTCGCGTCCTTCCTCCCTCCCCCTGTCCCTTTGCATTTGTTTCCTCTTTCGCACCCACAAACGGACTCTTATACTGTTCGTAGACTCACGCAAACACAAACGGACAAACGCGGACTCATTCGCACGCACGCAGGCACGCAAGCACGCGCACACGCCCGCCCGCACGCACACACACACAAGCACGCACGCACACACACCTGTCTCCATCTCTCTCTCTCTCTCTCTCTCTCTCTCTTTCCGTGTGTCTCACTCACTAGCGTTAGCTTGCACGTGCACGCACGTCTCCTCTTCTGTTTCTCCCCCCCCCCATCGCCACACTTGCACACGCGCATTACAACGTTTGATAACGTCCGCATATCCTATATATACCTGAAGCAAATTTCGTCCATTTTTTGGCGGGAGAAGACCGGCTTCTGTAGCAGGTTGTTCAGAGCGTGCAAGGCACACAAATCTTTCTCCTGCTTCTCATGATAGACGCCTGCTAGTGCCACCAACTTGACGTGCTGTGATCTGTCGCCAGGCGGCGCTCTCGTCAGCTTCCTCTGTAGGGCGGCGAGCACGGAGGAGGGCATGCGAATGTTTCTATGAAATCCTCTGCGCTTAGCATTAAACCGGTCGACACTTTTATCGCCTGAATACGGATATATATATATATATAGCCGAGGTTAGCGTCAACTTACAAGGATAAACGTGGTTATAGGTGGTTATCACAGTATAAAGATTTTAGTAGATGACAAACACCTATGGCGACTTCGTGTCGGCAACTCGAACCTAACTTATCTCATGATATTCGATAAGAGCTAGACGTTATTGAAAATCCATAATAAATCAATTGCAGTCGATAGTATTGTAATAATTGAATGTAATAATAAACCACCGGGTATGTGCAGATAACCACAAGTAACGTTAGTTGGGGTACAGTAGAAATCACAGTAATTTCTATATGAATTAATAGCCAACTCGTTCATAATGCAATATAAGTACTAAATAAACAGGGTCAATTATTCATAAGCCTACGGCACAGCACATTTTTGTCAATTCTGCTAGTACAGTGCAAATATCTTTTCCTCTAATCAAATTACAGGTTAATTAATTGGAGAATCAATTTATACAAAAGTCACTCAAAACAGTACATGATCCATCATGAGCAAACGCAATCATTTAAGCGCAATGACACAGTACATTCGAACAAGCAAATGGTTTACGCACGGTGAGGAAATCCTAATTATCATAATTAAACGCTGAAGATATGTGACATCGAGTGTTGTCTAAACGTAATGCATAATAATGCCAACACATTCATTAAAAAAATCTCGGGATAAAGTAAATTTCATTGAAATTTAGCAAAAAATAATCAGGAAACTAGTTTCTGATCGCACTGACGAGATGAACGACCTGATCGAGTTATTTACATATACCTTTAAGCTATTAACCGAACCAACCCATAGAATCTGTTAAGCTCTGCGATATCTTAATGATGCGAAAGATATAATACTGTAGTAAGTATAGCTATATATGTCCAGTACCGTACGTGGGGTTGCTTGAAGACGTGGATGATCGACACAAAACCAAGCTATACGAAGCAATTATTTTACACGCGCAGTTCAACACTGAATGTGACACACTAGCAGCACTGCACGTACCTATAATGTTATATGAAACGACGCCGCCAACATGCCAGCTGCATCCGCCGACAACCACATGCTCTGAAGCTCTATGCCCATTGAATCATAGAAGCCACGAGTTACGATATACTGCAGGTGATGACATCACTCATAGACGCGATGTAATTGGATAATATGCTATTCACACGAGAAGGCTTGGCAGTGCAGAGTGGGATTCCGCGCGTGGGAAGTCCTAGGGATTACTCGTAAAGTATAGGAAAACGTGTAGAAGTTATGAACGGCGTGACTCACGAATATAATGATATATATGATTATAAAAATAAAATTATTATTTTTATATATCGATGTAATAAAGATTTAGATCCGTCTATCGATTTCAATGGAATACGCATTCACAACTCTGTACATAAAGGCGCATGATAAGTGAACATTACAGTTGCCCGAAGCCATTAGAAACTGTGCAAATGTTTCCACTATAGCCAAACTATAAAATTTGGTATCGCGTTATCGGCCTCCGTAGCATCCATCGCGTAACAGAGAATCTGCATGTTATACAGATTCATAGTCTCACAGTTATTATTATTATTATTATTACTATTATATTATTATTATTATTATTATTATTATTATTATTATTATTATTATTATTATTATTATTATTATAGTCTCACAGTTTCACACCTCATCACATTCCATATCCAAAATGTGCAGGTTGTTTTTGTTACTATATTATTACACGTGAATATTATACATGTCAATACACTTCTGGATACAGCAAAGACGATTTGATAACAATTTTCACGCTACTGTTAACAAGAGTCTGAGATGATCTATTCCTCGTAGTGACGATGATGACTGATGCTGATGATGATGACGATAACAAATTTTCTTTTTTTAATTGATTTAGTTTTACAATAACATGTAATTACAAATCATATTATGTTTAAGTATAATATATTAATTTAACCGATATCTTGGTAATTATTTCTGGTAAAAATAATAGCTACTAAAGCTGTAGTGAATGACCGCGAAATATTTTGTTAAAAGGGGGCGCTGCGGTCGCGCGTATCCAAAATGTGCTTGCTGTTTTTGTTACAATTTTCAATGAAATTAACTATTTTTGTGCCATATTGAAGAAATATGCCGCCAAAGAAGAGAGAGAAGACGGAGGAGGTACCAGAAAAAACTCAGTTGGAGCAACTGCAGGCCGATCATGAGCTGTTTTTACAGGCATTCGAAAGTAAGTTTACCATTTAAAATCAACACACGATATGCCATTGATTCAGTTGTTTCAAGAAGAATGAATAGGGCCTACACAAGACATTCCCGATGTCAGCGATGTTGTTTGTGGAAACGGCGTTCTGATAGTACTACTACTAATTGAATGTAGGAAAATTCTATTTCATCTGTTAATCTCGTATTTCACTGTCTTTATGCAAGACTAATACTAATAGGTTTGCGGATTACGTTTGTACTAGATCAGTAATGTTCATATAGCCATAGGGTCTATGTCCCCCAGGGTACTGCCGGAACGTACCCTGGGTACGGTCCGGTATACCGGAACGTACCCTCGTCACTATTTGATATGGTTAGGATTAGGGTTCGGGTTAGGGTTAGGGAGTAGGCGTAGGCGACTCCCTAGACTCGTTAGTGGAGTATGCGAGGTACGGTCCGGCATATTAGATAGTACCAGGGTACGTTCCGATATATCGAACCGTACCCAGGGTACCCTCACCCTGGGTACGGTATTCAGCCAACTGATGTCGTAATACATACCGCTTTGTCGGCAGGAAACGCATTGCATTGCTATTGCAGAAGGGCATACAACTGCAAAGAAGCTGGCTGCAGCATTACCACTGGCAGAAAGGCCTACTGTAATGCCAACAATAAGCAACACAACAGGACTAGAAACATTTTGTTCATTGGACACAGACAGCTGTAGTATCATGTTACAAAATAATTACAGATGTGTGACTAGAATTTCTGGCACTTGATCCTCCTTTTTCCTTCTGTCAACCAAAAATCGTTCTAGCTGGCGTACAGTGTTGCCTGACATGCTGGCTCTGGTGACATCATGACTGACAGCAGGCATCCCATGATGCATTCGATCTTGGAGCCGAAGTTAGCCGAATGCTATGCGCATTGGGAATGCGTACATCACAGGTCAACAGAAATGGCGCTCGAAATATCGTCGCTCGTCGCTTCGAAATTTTGTAACAGGTTATATTAGTTTAATACAGAGTATTGTGATACATAGTAAGTCCCAGGATAGTGGAGAAAGGTTCGTGTTTAGAATAAACCCAGTTTGGAAGTTCTAGCCTCGAAAAACGCACCATAAAACTGCCCTGAGTGAATTACTCGGGGGCTCCTCCAAAGAAAAGAATAGGCTCGCGTTGTAACCCTACTCTTGTTGGGTTACATTATTGTATCTAGGTGGGACAATGCAGGGTACGCAGCGACATATTGTATAGTACCCTGAGGTACTTTCCGATATATCGAACATCAGTAATCCTATCAGTCTCAGTAACGTCAAGCCACTATGTTGTGTTGATGTGATATGGTGTTCTGTTCCATGTGCACAATCAGCTTTCAGTTCGCTGTTATTTTATGTACTGTGCGATTACTTAAAACTAACACATTTTGAGTTGGTGTGAAGCTTATTTGTTTTTTTTTGCTGCTTACTTTACTGTATTGTACATACTGTAAAAATCAACAAGTGATTACTGTTGTGCAGTATGTGTATTTTAGCCTTCTTTTAGTTGGTTGACCAGCATATTTTCGTGTTTATAAAAAGGCAGACATCATAAATGCAACTTTCTGTGGCCTAAAACTAAAAGTATCGTAGGAATCCACCGAGTATGCATGCTAAATGTTGTGGCCCCACTTTTAGTTTTATAGGAGTATGATGAGACACCCATACATGCATGCGCACACGTACACACACACACACACACACACACACACACACACACACACACCACACACACACACACACACACACACACGACACACACCACACACACACACACACACACACACACACACACACACTACACACAC